CATGGACACGGAGGAGGCCCTGCCGGCGAAGAGGCCCATCTTCCCTCCGCTCTCGGGCGAGCGGCTCCTGGTGGGGACCGAGGCGGGACGGGGTGGGGCCGGGCGTCCGGATGAAGGATCCCTTCTGGTTTGAAGTCTCAGCCGGCAAGTCTCCAGCCACCTCCTGAATATGTGTGTGTGTGTGTGTGTGTGCTTTGTTGCAGACTGGGAAAGAAGAGACGAGAAAAATCCCGGTCCCCGCGAACAGATACACGCCATTAAAAGAAAACTGGATGAAGATATTTACTCCGATAGTAGAACATTTGGGACTTCAGATACGCTTTAACCTGAAGTCAAGGAATGTGGAAATCAGGGTAAGCAGAAGGGTAGTCATTTCTCAGCCTACCGAGTTTTCTCCTTCAGAACTGAAAATAAAATGAATGCATTTTCCTGCATAGAGCTTATGCTAGGAAGTGGTTTTCTTCATGGTTATAGTATTCAACACAGGCGTTGGCTGCACTGCTAAATTTGGCTCTGAGATCACACCAGTATATAGTTTATCCTGTGACTGTCTTCTGTAATGCGTGTTGAATTGATGAGAGGTGGGAAGTGTTACATGGATGTACATTAATAGGTGGTAATTGCAGGTACCTACCACAGTATAAGTACTGTAAATTTTAGTGATACTCTTTTTGGAGGAAATATGTGTTACTAATGTATTTTTCTCTCATTAAATCACTTCTTTCTTTAGTATATCGCCTGTGCCAAATTAGTTTTCCCAGGTCACAGTGCTTCTTCTGTTTTGATATTCTATCATCCTCAGCATTTCAAAGGCATAAAAGACAGATGCGTGATTGAGCCTGCCTTTTGAGTAGGAGACCGAGTCGTGATTGTTTCTCCCCATTTTTCCCCTGCTGGTACTTTTGGTGGCTTTGCTCTCTGAATCTCTGAAGAAGACTGTTTTCTCCATTCTCTTCCTATTTCCGTCTCAGGCAGCTTTCAGGGTCTAGCTCAAGCATGTTTTCTTTAGAAGTTTATACATTTCTGTTGTGCTTAACTGCCTTGTTTATTGCAGGATCATTAGCTGGTATTCTCAGTATGTATTGATGATGCTGTTTATCAGATGCATAGAGTGTTAGCTTGACGTAGATGTCATTAGGCCATTAAGGTATGATGACAAAAACCCCCATGTTGCCAAGAGATGAGGCTATGGAAGGTTAAAGAAATGCAGTGCCTTGGCCAGAGTCATTAATCTAATAATTGAATTGTAGTGCTAGAATTTTGACTTCTGGGATGACATGTTATTTTATATATGAAAAACTTAAATCCTAGAAAATTTATAGGACTTACCAAAAGTCACATACACAGGGGACTCAGAGTCTGGAGCTTTGTTGTTTGTCCATTTATTTATTCTTTCTCCTCTCCCTCTCCCCCAGACAGGGTTCTCTGTGGCTTTGGAGGCTGTCCTGGAACTAGCTCTTGTAGACCAGGCTGGTCTTGAGCTCACAAGATCCTCCTGCCTCTGCCTCCCGAGTGCTGGGATTAAAGGCATGCACCACCACTGCCCAGCTTCATTTATTTTTTGAGGCTATGTTTCCCTATGTAGCCCCAGCTGGCTGGGAACTCAAAGAAGTCTGAAAGGTGCTGCGCATAAAGGCGTGTCCTCCCTACCCTACTGGGTTCTGTTTTGAAAAGTTAAAAACTTATTAATACAATCCTGTATGCTTTGAAGTTTGTCAAAGGTGTGGTCTTTTCACATGGATTGCAAATTTGTATGGGAGACTGGAATTAATATTTTAGAAATTAGACTGTGTTTGGGTTTTTAGTACCTTAATTTCCTCAAGTATGATAAGTGTTTATAATACAAAACATTCAGGATTGTCAAGGTGAAGCTTAGAGCTAGATGTGTAAAGCATATTATTTACAATAGTGGGTGTTCTATGAGTAACAGCTATTTCTGTAGTTCAATTAATTGCAGACAGGATTCCTATTTAAGCTGTTCCCTGATTTCCTCAGTACCAGGCATGTAAGTAGTCAGAACTAGAGTTGTTAATTTGGGAAACAACAGCATATAAATATGGTTCTTTAGGCAGAATGTTAAGTCTCTTTGGTGAAATCTTACTTGATGGAGAAGAAGACAGAATGGGCGTGAGCCCTTGGGGTATGGTAGAGGTGTTGCCACTAACCTTGACCAGTCATAGAGTATGTTTTGCCATTTGAGGGGTTTGCCTAGAATTGTTCAGCTTTCGAGCAGGAAGGTTCTCTTGTACAAATTAAAGACAACACTTACCACACATAAAAGGGGTCTTAAACACGGGGAGGGTGTAGGCCCTGCTCCATATGATACGACTTGGACTTTGAAGATCCCTCATGGGTAGGCCCTCACCCTCCCTGGGGAGCAGATAGGGGCTGGGATAGGGGGCTGGTGGGGGGGCAGGGGAGGAGGGGAGGGAGAGGTAATTGGGATTGACATGTAAAACAAGTTTATTTCTAATTTAAATTAAAAAAGAAAAGAAAAAGAGGGGGTCTTAAGCTCTTGGGAGGATGGTGGTTGATGGTGAAGAAAATTATAACAAAAATATCATTTCTAGTATTTTGATAGAATGCTTTCTTTTTCATCCCCTCTATATCTGTACTCTTTTTTTCAGACTTGCAAAGACACCAAGGATGTCAGTTCCCTGACAAAAGCAGCCGATTTTGTGAAAGCCTTTGTTCTCGGGTTTCAGGTGGAGGTGAGTGGTCTCATTTCGAAATATATACAGTGTGGACATTTCAGTAGATAGGGACATTTTCGAAACTTTTGAGTCTTGTCATTGTAGTGTCTGAACTTTAGCTGCAAAAATGCTGTCACTGTCAGGTGTCCACTGAAAAGGCCTTGATGGTGTTTACTTTTGTTTTATAGGATGCACTTGCCCTTATCAGGCTGGATGACCTCTTCCTAGAGTCTTTTGAAATAACCGACGGTGAGAAGAGCATGTGGTAGTCTTCTGTGTGAACAGTCAGTCTTTGTGTTTCTGGTTGCATTGTGTTTTGACTGTGGTTTTCTAATAGCTTCAATTGAGCTGTATCACTAACACTTCAGAAAATGTGTATTTGGTGTTGTTTAGTAGAAAAACTCTAGCTAGCCACCTGATGTTGTCTTTCTTCTTTAGTTAAGCCCCTAAAAGGAGATCACCTGTCAAGGGCAATAGGAAGAATTGCTGGCAAAGGAGGAAAAACCAAATTTACCATAGAGAATGTGACACGGACACGGATTGTTTTAGCAGATGTGTAAGTATCTTGTCTTGAGAAATTTTCATGATTTATAATTGATCTTACTAGTTTCAAAAAGGTCATAGCTGTTATATTTGTTGTAATTTTTCTTTCTTTTTATTATTATTGTAATAATAATAAATCTTTGATGAGGGATTGAACCAAGGACTTTGTGCATTCTGGTCAAGTACCATACCACTGCTTTATAATAATTGTGTTTAACGCACATTCTTGCCATTGGGTCTTTGTAGGTATGTAGGTATGAATACCCACCAACCTTGAAAGGATAATGAGTTAGTCAAGGAAATCTCAGTAATTATAGTTTTTTGTTTGTTTCCCCACTCAGAATAAAAGAAATGTTTAGAGTCACTCTTAAAATGATGTATTACAAGGGAAGCTTTAAATTTTATCTCAGGCAAATTGATTAAATCATTAAGGGAAGTGTAAATAGTGGGTGTTGGATATGCCATTGTGAGGCTTTCCTTTAGAATGTATATCTATATTTCATGTAGGAGTAAACACATACCTTTCATAAAAGGAAGGTGCATATTGCATATTGAGTAAAAAAAAAGTTCCATGTGACTATAAATTAGATGATACAGGCTTAGGGCGAGGATGATGTTCTGGATGCAGAGCTGGGGGTACCCATCTTAAGAAGGGCATTAGAGGGAGGAGGGAAGGGTAGTTGGGGGGAAAATGTATAGCTCAATAAGAACAAGTTTTAAAGGGGGGGGGCATTAGAGTGCAGGATATGAATGGGAGTACCTCTCTGAGGGCAGAGCTGTTCTGTTCCCATGTTGGTGTTAAACAGATGTTAGTGTTAAACAGGCAGATGTCTAAGACCTGATAAGACTATGAAGTTGGCAAGTAGCAGTTGACAGGGTGAGGATTTCATCTAATATCATTTTGCTTTAAACATCATTATTTAGACTACATTAATGTAAGCATTCTTTATATTTAAGGGTAACTGTTGTATATTGGTGGCCCTACTTGAAGCCAAATATATTATCATAGTTCTGCTCTTTTATGGATTGAGCCTTAAGAGTTTGAAACCTGAGGGTTTTTTGTGTTATTTTTTTCCTACTGGAAATTTCAAAGACACAGAAATAACAATATTTAAAATGGCTGATCCTAGCCTAAAAGTTTTTGTTAGTTGAGAAAACCAAAGCTAGAACCTTCTTGCTAATGAACTTGTGACGAGTTTCTAATTAACTTTATAAACCGCAAATTTAAATGTCTTAAAATTTTCTGTAAATGTTGTTTGAAAAAGAGTATTTTTGGTACAGTTTATATTAGTAAAATTCAGCTGTCAGTGGTGTCAGTCTAATAGGTTGCTCAGCATAGCAGCCCTTTAGCCCTGCCACACCCATAGTGCTCATCATCACAGGTCCCCTGCATCATTTTAATCAGTCCTTTACCCACTTTAGTCCCAGTCAGCCACTGTTCTGCTTTTGCCATTTTCAGAAACTTGTAAATGGATGCCCAGTGTGTATTCATTTAGTATATTGCTTTGAGCTTCTTCATTTTGTTGGGTACAACAGTATTTCCACTCCCTTGCCCCTTTTTTTTCTTTTAAATAGCCAAATAGCATTCTAATTACAGTTGATAGACATCGGGGATATTTCATTTTGGAGCTATTATGACCAATGCTGGTGTAAAGTACTTTTTATATCTTTTGTTCAATTTTGAATTAGATTTAAGATGTAACAGTAATGTTTTTTGTTTTTCGAGACAGGGTTTCTCTGTGTAGCTTTGGAGCCTATCCTGGCACTCGCTCTGGAGACCAGGCTGGCTTTGAACTCACAGAGATCGGCCTGCCTCAGTGCTGGGATTAAAGGTGTGCGCCACCAACGCCTGGCTATCATGTAACAGTAATTTTTGTTGTTGTTACATTTAGAAATTTTTTTGAAATTATAATTACATTTCTCCTTTTCTATCAAATCCTATCATATACCCTTCTTTTTCAAACTCATGGCCCTTTTTTTTATTGTTATTGCCTGCATATATGTATATACTATATATTCCTAAATATAAACTGCTCAGTCTGCTTAATGTTACTTGTATGTATGTTTTCAGAGCTGACCATTTGGTATTGGATAACCAGTTGGTGTGCTCTTCCCTGGAGAAGATTTTTTTCTGCTCCCAGTATTCCTGTTGCTTGTAGTTCTTTTTATAGGGTTGAGGCCTCTTGGTATCTACTTTGGTATGCCCGTTGGTGTTATCCTTGTTCAGCTCATGATTGGGCAGTCATGTTGGTGAGACTTTATGAGTGTCGTTTCTGATGTTGGTACACACAGTCTCACAGCAAACCTCTGATCCTGTAGCTCTTGCATGTTTCTACCTTCTTATCCAAAATTTCCCGTGAGCCTTAGCTGTGGGAGGTTTGTAGATGTATCCGTTGGGACTGGGCTCCACAACTCTACATATTGGTAGATAGTGGTCTCTGTTTATTGCAAAGAGAACTTTCCTTTATGAGGGGGTGAAGACTACACTTACCAGGCTAGACCCAGAGGAGGACATCTGGTATTTTTATGAAGTTGCTAATAACTTGGCAATACACAGAATAATGTGAGCAAGATACAAAATAAAGGACAATTTTCTGTCTAGATATATTTAAAATACCAAAGGGGAGAGAATGTTGCTTATGTTTAGTGACACTTTTTATGCACTTTTTAGTACCTGCCTCGTTCCTGCTGGAATTCTGATAAATTTGTCTTTTTGATAATTTTTTGTGGGGATATAGAATTCCTATATCACAAGTCACTCATTTTTGAAGTGGTTTTAGAAGATTATAAAGTTGTCAGCCATCACCCTGTGCCCTCAGTTTAGAATTTAGATCTATTTTCATTTCCAGAGTTTTTAGTTCCCCAGATGTGGCACGAACATGCCATTTGTGGCTAACCTGACTCACTTACTTCTTTCAGGAAAGTTCACATTCTCGGCTCTTTCCAAAATATCAAGATGGCGAGGACTGCCATCTGCAACCTCATCCTAGGTAATAGCAGTTTATTTCTTTGGTGTTTTTCTCTGATTAGGGAATGGAGGAATTTAGGCCATATTTACAAAGCTACTTTCATATTGTTAAGATACCCAGCAGAAGTCGAAGAGTTGGTGAAGGGAAAAACAGGAATATTTTACTTAGATTCCATTGGTTAGAGAAGAGAAAGGGTTTATTGGGTAATATCAAAATCTCTGTTGCTTTCCCTAAGGAGTACATAGAAAAGCCATTCCAAAATAAGAACATTTTAGGCTCTACAGAATGGGGGATGCTGAACGAATGCAGTCAACTTGATTTAATTTGATCTAGTTCTAGAGTCATAGCAACTTTCTCAGAGGACTAGGGGGTTTTCTCTGGTGTTCAGGACTGGCTGGCTAGCTTCTTTGTGAAATACTGTTTTTACAACTTTGACTTCTCTTAGGAATGCAAAGTATTTGTCTTCTATGTAGTTCTCCATGTTTGAATATATTTGTATATATAAGCTGTTTTTTTCTTGAACAGGAAATCCTCCATCAAAGGTTTATGGCAATATCCGAGCTGTGGCCAGCAGATCAGCGGACCGGTTCTGATTCCCCTCGACCCTTGAGATGTTCACAGAAAACCATGGGAAGATTTCCCAGCCACCTACTGCTCAGGTTCCTTTTCAGGTCTCAGCCCAAGCAGAAGCAGAAAGGGAAGGTTTAACAGGACTTGCACCCCCCTGCTTCTAGAATAATTTAAATATGAAAATGTAATGCTGTTAATTCTTAACACATTGAGTGTAAATTGCTGCTGTCTTTTTCACACAGAGTCAGACTCACAGTTTAAAATCCTGTCATTTAGAGGCAGCTTCTTAAGACAGATTTGTAACTAAACTTACAAGCATTTTTTCTCTGAAAATTTTAATTAAAATCTCCACCTGTGAATCACAGTCTTTGGTACAGGGCACTGTGACTGCTTCAGGGTTGGGGCATAACATTAGTCTGCACTATTGAACCTAATGTGTTCATCTTTACACTCAGTGCAGTTTATGAAATGAAAGCCCTGCACCACAAGGCTAATGAATTACTTTACAAATAAGTAATAAAAGTAAAACTGTTTTCCAAACAGTATATTCTTGTAACTAGTGTCTGTGTATATGAATTTGCTTATTTTTTTTTCTTATATTGTTTAGAACCTATTTCATTAAACATGAGATTTAGATACTACAGTCTCTTTTGTTTCTCAGTGACCTTGACCAAAATATTGTAATGATTGGAGTATCAGGAAATTCATGCAATAACCAAATGAAGTAGTAGTTTTAAATTTTTAACTTTTTAAGAGTTGCTAAATACTTATGAGTGTTTTATGCATCTAGGTATGTGCATCATGTATGCACCTGGTACCCTAAGAATAGAGAATCTGATCCCTTAAGTGGAGTCATCAGATAAGGTTGCGAGTCACCATGTTTTCTGCAAGCAAGTCTGAGAGGTCAGCAAGTGCTCTTAACCATTGAGCCGTCTCTCCAGCTCCTCTTGATTTTTGAGACAGGATATGTAGCTAGTCCAAGCTGGCTGTAACTGTCTAGCCCCACTTGCCTCAAACTTGGGACAGTCTCCTGCCTCAATATACCATGTGCCAGGGTTACAACTGTGTGCTATCATGCCCTGTTTAGTAGTATTTTTGTTAAACTTGGGTTCCCTATTATCAGTGGGAAGTGCTAACTGTCCTAGCTGCTTTGTACCTTGCTCATGCTGTCTACCAACAGGAAATTGCTGGAGTGTTCCCCCAAAGGACAGAATGTTCAATATTATCAAACCTCATTAAAAAGAACTTGTTGGGAATTCTTTATTCTGAAATCTATAGAGCATTTAGGAGGTACAAATCCACTCTCAGTCTGCTCAGTGAGGGGATTAAAAATTGTGATGACATCTACCATTTGCCTTTCTGGGAAATGATGTCTATGGTTTTAATGCTTTTTTTAAGAGTCAAAAGTGACTAGATAACAGTATTTGGGATTTAATTATAAGAAACTGAAGCAGAGTTAAGAACGTAATTTTTGCCTTAGAAAGTTTGAGATTCTATGTTAAAGTACAATGTTTGCATTTCTCCTTCCAAGTACTACTGAGAGAAAGATAGAATGAGAGGGAAGGGGGGGAGGGAGAGAGAGAGCGTGGGAGAGAGAGAGAGAGAGAGAGAGAGAGAGAGAGAGAGAGAGAGAGAGAGAGAGAGAGAAAGGTTGCTGGTAGTTAAATCTAACAACCTGGACTAAATCACTACTCCCTTAACATCTCCAGTGCCATTATACTACAGCCAATCTGAAACCTGTTTCTGTGGCACTGCCGTGCTGTAAGGCCAAGTGGTCTCTTGGATAGATACTATTACAACTCCAACTTTATTTTACTTATTTATTAACACATTGTCTGAGTTAAAAGAAAAGTGAGTTTCATAGGTAAAGCTATGGTCCAACTGGGGGATTCCACAAGATTTGGGCTTGTGCCTGCCTAGCACTAGTGATAAGGATGAAGGTTAATGATTGTTGAGCATGTGGGGACAGACTCAATTGTACTCTTCCAAGAGCCAGGTTATGATTGGAGCAACACACTTCTGTTACATTATAGCCAATCTGAAATGCAAAGGACCAGTCACGTGCAAAGGACTTGTCTTGGGAAAGCACTGCTTATTTGGCCAAAGAAATCACAATCTCCAGGAACTCAAGCCATTTGGATTGGTTAGCTGATAGGGAAGGGAAAGGTCGCAAGAGGACTCAGCAGCTCTACAGCAACGTGAATCTGATGTGGGGGAGTTTTTGAGCACTTAATGATGAATATTCAAGACATGAGCTTGAACACCATTTTCTTTGTACACCCTGGGAACTATCTAGAAACTACCATCTTGTCTACATCATCCTAAAATATTCCACACATTAAAGAATTCTTTTTGAGGTCTAGAGAGATGGCTCAGCAGTTACAAGCACTAACTGCTCTTCCAGAGGACCCAGGTTCAATTCCCAGTACCCACATAGCAGCCCATGCCTTCCAGTTTCAGGGGACCACAGCAAAACACCAATGCACATAAAAAATAATATAAAATTCTTTTTTGGAAATACAGCTTTCCATGTTAACCATTGTATTATGAATACAACTTAGTAACTATTTAATGTGAAGCCATCACATTTTCTGTCTTCTGAACCTCTGTACAAGTTTTTAAAAGATTTCCATTTCTTCCTGTTGTCCTTGGCACAAACTATTCTGCATTTGTCTCTAGGAATTTTATTATCCCGTTGATGTAAAAGTGGAGCTTTTCCCATAACAAGACTTATCCATGTTACGTAATGTGTTAGAATTTTCTTTCCTGTTGTACAGTGTATACCTTGTTTACCCATTCACCTCCACAATACTTGGACTGCTTTCAGCCTTTAGCTGTTGTAATGCTGCCATGAACTGAATCCTTGTGTGTTCACTAGTAACAAAGGAGGTAGCCAATACTGATACTGTTTTTCTTTGAGAGGCAAGCAAGAGCAGTAGTAACAGCCTAATGCTTGTGAAGTGGCTCTCACTGTGACTTGCATTTCCTTAATGACAGTGATATTGAGCATCATTTCCTGTGGTTAGTGGCCACCTGAATATCTCCACCGTCTATTTCAAGTCCTTTATCCATATTTTAATGAGGATTTCATTGCAGTTGTATAGACCTTCAGATTTGATTATTAATCCCTTTTTTCCTGAATGGTTTACAAGTATTTTCTCCTTTTTAAAGAGTTTCCATGTCTCAATAGTCATTTTCTTAAGCGCTTTCTTTTTGGGTCCTCTATAGGAGCTCACAATTTTGAAACCTGTGATTATGTAATATGTATGTTCTGGGTATAAATATACCCAACATCCCACAACTCATTTGGATAAGCAACATCATTTACCTTTCAGTGCTGAACACAAGCATTCTACAGTAATCCCAAAAATACATTGGGCATGGTGGTGCAGGCTTTTAATCCATCCCAGCACTGGGGAGGCAGAGGCAAGGGGATCTCCTGAGTCCTAGACCAGCTTGGTCTACAAAACAAGTCCTGGGACAGCCAGTGCTACACAGAGAAATTGTCTGCAAAAACAAATCTCAAAAAGATGCAGAGAAGGAAGAGCAAAGGGGTCCACACCAGGCTGGTGAAACCCACAGTAACAGCTGACCTGATAGCTGGGATACTAGCATGGGACTGATCCAGACCCCAGGAACATGGTTTCAGTGAGGAAACCTCGGAAATCTATGGGACCTCCTGTAGTAGTTCAGTATCCCTAGCATAGTTGTGGACTTTGGGAGCCCATTCCACATAGAGGAATACTCCCTGAGCCAAGACATAGGGGTGGGCCTAGGCCCTATCCCAAAGGGTACATAGACTCTGATGACACCCTATGGAAGGCCTCCAGGGGGGAGCAGAAAGGATATGTGTGATAGGTAGGGTTTTAGTTGGGGGGTGGTAGGGGAGGACAGGAGGGAGAAGGGAACTGGGATTGTCATGTAAAACAATCTTGTTTCTAATTCAAATAAAAAAATTTTGCAAAACAAAAAGTCACATAAAATTGTAACCTGGGTGGTGACACATGTTTTCGATCCCAGTACTCAGAAGCTGAGGTAGGAAGATTACAAAAAGTCAAGACCAGCCTGGTTGAGGGAGAACTTACCATGAAAAATGAATTACAACCTGTATTATCCAGGAGTCACATACTAGTTCATTTGCTCAAGGATCAAACCTGAAACCCAGGTGGTATTCTAAAAACTGAAATTCTCAATTCTGAAGTGTCTGCTAAACAAGTAAACCACTACTGTGCGTAAAGCATTCTTTTTTATTCTATAACCAGGGAAGACAAAATATGCTTGGAAGAGGAGGCTATTGAGTAAAGGCGACCCAAGAGTATTTCCATTTTATAACAGGACAGTCAGAAAAGCCCCTTTTGACCCAGTACACACACAGGTGAACCAAGTGTTAAAGGCATTACTTACTGGGTATGGGGTTGGCACACCAGTGTGAGACAAAAGCAAACCAAACCCCAAAGGCACTGTAGTAAGCCCAGGTTAGGGGAGTGAGTGGCCAAAAGGTAAGTGGAGTCACGGGGTTTGTAACATCAGCTGTTGTTTGTTCCAGTATTTCACCTGTAGCTTATGATTTAAAACAACAAAGCAGTTTATCAAAATTTGTAAACCCTAAAGCATGGACAGCACTGTAGTCCTGCATTAAAGATGACAGAATACATCCAAGCAAGTTTCAAATATTTTATTTTCTTACTCATACAGTATGAAGTTCTCTAAAGATTTCACAACATGACGTGTATCATGCAGAAGAAAATTTAAACATTCAACATAAACCATGCCCTCCCCACCTCCCTCACACAAACTAAAAAAGAAAACCCCCATACCCCAGTAAGGAAATAATTTGCACTATTTTTTTCCACAACGCCAGCCAAGATATGCACAAGCAAGAGATATAGAAAGCATTTGCTAAAATATTTGTAACAAATAATTATGTACAAAAAAATTCACAAAAGACTAGTTCCCTCTTGAAGCAGAGCACATGGCAGTTGACACTGGAACAGATCAAACCACTGGCTGGGATTGTAAGCCACGTACTGACCCAGAGGAAGAAAGTACTTACATGTAGTGGAGATTTTTCATTTTGAATATTAACATTTCCAAAGTTTGGCAACATCATCTTTTAAAATTATGCAAATTATGTAAACAAGAGGTACATTTTAAATTGATCTACATGCAAAACTCCATGTCATGCAAAGACACCAAGCACCGGGATTTTTCTCTCACAGACAGAGCCCATGGTGTGCAGCACTCAGTTGAAGGAACAGCGGTGGCAGGCAGGTGTGCTCAATTTAATATTCTTTTACCTTGATTCAACCCGCCCTTTACCATTCATGATTATAAAACCAATTGTAATAGAAAAACTATGTAGGGAAGACTATCATATAAAACTAACCAGAATGTTTTACTTCCAGCCAATAGTACCTTTGCAGAAAAGGGAAGGGATAATGTCAAGTGGTAGAACATGACATACTTTTATGTCACACAAATTTATTAAGTCATTATCCATATCACTAATCATGTGGGCAAAACAACAAAAATCCATCATGTGCTATCTTGCCTCTGGCAAAGAAACTTGTAAAGTATAAATATAGACAAAATCTGCTCTTCTATGCATATAGATTAGCAAGATTTTTCCCATTTTAATCACAAACAGGATTTTACATAAATATGTGCTCATTAAAATATCGATAGTTTTTTAGATGAACTGATACATCTTTTGAAATGCAGAAGGGAAATCCTTGGTTCACACACAGTAGTAACAAAGTATTTAATTGTGTATAATGAAGCAAAGATATTCTAAGCCATTATATGATTTCTTTGGGTTTTTCTCACTAAATAATGTATCTAAAAAGTCATAACTGCCTCAGAAAACTCCTGTTATAAAACCACAACTGCTAATTACATTTACTCAGGGACACTTAATAAAAATAACAGCGACTATAAAGTATCAGCCTGAAGCAGCCATAGCATATGCAGTTCTTCTATGGACACAGAATCCATTCTTGGCAACAGCACTGAACTAGACCTCCAACAGATAGGGATTAAACGCTGCTCAGCAATAAGACACGGTCCCTGGAAATATATTCAGAGATATAAATAAAGTTACAGACTCGTTACAAAAATGTAATTAAGGTAAATAATAGGGCATTAACAAATGCTTTATCAATCTCTCAAAGGAGAAAGCACAGAGAAAGGAAATAGCTGGCCTAACCCTGGCGCAAATTGTACAATCTTCTATCTACATATAAAACTGTGTGAAATA